AAGACTATCATGTTACTTTTTGTAACATAATACTACAATGTTACTGTTTGTAAGATAAGACTACATTGTTAATGTTTGTAACATAAGACTTCAATGTTACTGTCACATAAGCTCATGTTTTTAGAGATTGCAATTATTACAGTTTTTTCCATTTCCAAAAAAGTTTGTTAATGAATGTATTCAGAACATGCTAGAGTTTAAAATACTATATAACATCATCATCACTATCATTGCCACCATTATCATCATCACAATCGTCATCAAATATGTATATCACAATATTTTTTGTTCTACCTTTCTTTGCAAAGAGAAATTGATGCAATAAAAATGTGTAGATCTTTTATTTTTTAGTGCAACAATAGTTTCTTTTTTGCAATAACTATAATTCGTCTTTTATTCTTCAGAACAAAAAAAATAAATCATTTTTATATTTTTATATTTATCAAATATAAAAATATAAAAATGCTGAAGGTAATCTGCAGTTTAAAAAAATTGGATAAAATGAATTTTATGAATCAAGAAAATTTTTTAATAATATTTCACTTTTGAACAGGCCATAAATAGTTTGTGTAAACCAATTTGGAGAATGTGGGCATAAGCTTGCCATCACCGCCAAGGCTTACCTTACATACATATATATAACTACATATATAATATATATATATATATATATATATATATATATATATATATATATATATATATATATATATACATATATATTCATTTTCAAATCAACTTGATAGTACTAGAAATGTCAGTGTAATAATACTGCTTATGAATGATTCATTGACTTTCTAGATTCCCGTTCTGGTGTAGAAAAAAAAATCCTTGAAATGGTTAAAGAAATTTTGTAGAAATATGGTTTAAATATAAAAAATTGTGTTTCCACTGGCATTGATAGAGCTTCAAAGATAAGCAGCGTACAAAAGAATTTCTTCTTGCATAAAACGTGATATCCCGGGACATATATATGTTTGATTTGTGGAAAGAACAGCTGTCATACAAAGTAGTTCCTGTAAAGTTAAAACTGCTAAACACATTTTGTGGAACCAGGTTGTGGGCGAGACGCAGCACTTAAAAAGTTTTTTGGTAACAATTTTTGGTAACTTTTGCTCAGATCTTGTCTTTAACATTCAAGTGAAATTTAACTTTCAATTGAAATTTAACATTCAAATACTCACAGAAGCAATGAATCTAAAAAATTTACTGTTAAAGTTTAAAATGATCTTGAGACCAGGTATTTTTTTAAGTCTGTATGGACATAATATTCCATTGTCAAAATATTTGCAAACTGCAAATTAAGTACAGCTATCTAGAAACTTTGAATGTATCCTCAGTAATTTCAGAGCATTTGTCACTTATCAGAACAATTTACTTACACAGAACCAGTATCAGGGCAATAGAAATATAGAACTAAGACTTTTTTTGCTATAACAGACATGGCTGTAATAAGTCTAAAATCAAGGTCAAACAAGGCACTTTTTTAAATACATAGCTTGCTTGTACCCCAAGAATTTCATAGAGAATCTCAGTTCAGTGAGTTTACAAAATTTAAACATAAACAAACTTGATTTTTTAGTATACTAATTGTATATTAAACAAAATGAACACAACACAACTGAGAAAATGGTTCAACAAAGTTTAATATCACAACTTCTAGACTTTTCTCAAAAGCATTTGACAAGTTTATTTTAACTACAAATTGTACTTAGGTTGCATATGAGCATACTTTCTCTAAGTTAAAACTTAATAAAACTAAAACCAGAAGCTATATGTTCAATGAAAACTTGGAGAAATATGATGGATTATCATAAGACTTATCAGGTGTACAGGTCTTTCAAGACTGTTAAAATTAGTTATTTATATTAATAATGTCATAAATAAACCAAATTAATTTTGTACACAAAGTGAATGCTATTTCTTGTTAAATTCATGGTGTTTGGGGCTACATCTAAATGCCTGCTATGGGAGTTTGTGGGTATTTGGATGACCCACCAGATAGCGTCAGTGCACCCTAGTCCCTACCTGGTGGAGAGGCAAGTTACCCCCTTTTGACAGATCGGGCACTCTGGTGTGTTCTCTTCGTAGTCAAAAATATAGATCAGCATTGCCTTACTATTATATATATATATATATATATATATATATATATATATATATATATATATATATATATATATATATATATATATATATATATATATATATATATATATATATATATATATATATATATATATATATATATATATATATATATATATATATATATATATATATATAAAAAATTAAACAAAATTATATTGATAAAATATAAAAGAACGCGGGGACACGTAGAAGACCGTTTGGTCTTGTCGTCGAGAACCGTTAATATAAAAGTGATAATTTCTCCTAATGTTAGTAAAAGATAAACAAGATAATAACAAATTTTTTTTTTCACAGAAAAATACGTTGAAAATATTTGAATATTATACATACTATATATCCAAAGTTATATATACTATATATAAAAAAAAATCCCATAGAAGTCTTGGTATACATATGAATTTTTAAAAGTTTTTTGATTAGGTGAAAGCAAAATAATTACTGACACAAAAATTTTATTTAGTATTCTTTTATATTTTCGAGGAAAAAAATAAAATTTTGGTAAGTTCAAGTCCAAAATTATATTTACATATAAAACACATTAGATATTTATATATGTAATACATAAAATATGTATGTAACCCATGAGTTTTGATTAATTGAATAAAATTGATTAATTTACAGCAACATACACATTGAAAAACAACATTGGATGATTTCTCAAAGAAACTTAATTGTGGATTTGGTAAATAATGGTAAGACCTACAGAGAAGGTAATAAGCAGACTGGAATCCCTTTTTGAAGATCGACAACATTATAAAAAAGTATAATTTGAATGGGACAACAACTAATATAGCAGGAAGAGGCCGTAAAAGAAAAAAATCTGCTGCCCTTGATAGAAACATTATCTTATTAGTCAAATCAAAGAGGTTCGAAGCTGCTCAAAACATTGCAAACAAAGTTAAAAACGACACAAAATCATGATTTCAGCTCAAACTATCCAAAATAGAATTCGAGAGCAAGAATTTCATGGTAAAGTATGTCGCAAAAAACCCTATTTGACTCTAAGACATGAAACAAAGATTATTATTTGCAAAAAAGTATGTTGACAAGACTATTGAGTACTGGATAAAAGTAATTAGGAGTGATGAATCCAAAATTAACCTGATCTCATCAGATGGATAGCAAAAAGTTTGGCAAAAACAAGGTAAAGCATATAAATTGGGTTGCATGAGAGGAACAGTAAAACATGGTATTGGAGATGTCATGGTTTGGAGATCAATGGCATTGCGAGGAGCTGGCAAATTGTTTTTCATTGAATCTACAATGAATGCCAATTTGTATTTAGACATTTTAAAGCAAAATCTGAAGCCCTCTGCTTGTAAATTTAGATTCGGAAATAACTTCGTCTTTTAACAAGACAATGATCCAAAACATACTGCCAAAGCAACTAAGAAATATTTTTGAAAGAATAATATTGTGATGGAATGGCCTACTCAGTCCCCTAACCTTAATCCAATTAAGCATTTGTGGCACATTGTAGACTAGAAAATTGGAGATTGAGCAGAAGTACAGAAGACAAAATGATCTAAAAGCAGACATAGTTGAAACATAGGAGAAAATAACTCCAGAAGAAACCAAATCTCTAGTTGAGTCAATGCCTCGACGTTTGCAAGTAGTTATTCTTGCAAAGGCCAGCTCTACTAAATATTGAAAAGTAATTTTTTGTTTAAATTTGGAAATTTTTCTTATATGGGTAATTCCACATCAAATCACCCAAAATTTAGGAAATTTTGAACCATGGTTCCTCAAATTTTTTAAAAACTTCTTTGGCTGTTGCATCTTTAATAAAAAAGTTAAAACATAAAATTTTAGCTAAAAATATTAAGCGGTTGACAAGATACTGCAATTTTAACATTGACCTGGTTTCCCAAAATGACCCGGTTTTCATAACATTATAAAAAAACATTTTTTTTAAAAAAACATAAGAAATAAAAATGGCAAAAATATGAAAATAAATATATATAATGTTTTTTTGATGCTGAATTCAATAAATGTGCTTAAAATGCTGAAATATAAAAGGAACATGCTTAAAAGTTAATAAAACAACTAGTTTCTATAATCCAACTTTGGGGCCCAATATCTCAAAACACCCCCGTCAAAATTTTTTTTTTTTTGCTGTTAATATTTTCAGCTGCTTATAATCTTACTAGGCACAAAATATCTAACTGGAAAAACAACTAAAACATATGTAACTTTAATTTTAAAGATATATCAAATTTTCAATAAATTAGTTTAAAAAACTTGCAAATAGAATTTTGTAAAATATTAAATTTAGTTATATTTAAGGAAGTCTTAATTATATAATAAATTTGTTATTTGATCTTAACAACTGAAAAAAACATCCTGTTTTGTTTTTAAAATCTGACAAGGTGTGATATTGAAGTGCATTTGTTTTTAAAATTTTGACAACTATAGTTTGTAAAAGTTTATAAAAACTAGTTTATAAAAAGTTCAGTTATAACAACATTTATCGGTAAAATTTTATTTAAATTTTAAAAATTTGATATATATAGATTGTATATATAGATTGTATATATATATATATATATATATATATATATATATATATATATATATATATATATATATATATATATATATATATATATATATATATATAGTATTTATAAAGAAAATTAACATTATCTATCAATGTAAAAAAATGTAGAAAAGAACAATCTTTTCCTTTTTTTTTAGGAAATACATTCATACTAAGTAACTTATTATAAGATGTGTTCTATTGGTTTATTGACATCAGATGAATGCAATGGCCAACAAGATGTTATTGAAACCTTAAGCAATGAAGAAAAAATAACTATATCATTACGCTGTAACATTGAGTTATCAAACTTAACAATATTATGTGAAAGACATACTACAAAATATTTGAAATTGTATCCTATATGGCAGAAAGCATGTTGTGATCCATTCAATAAACATACAAAGAAAATCACAAGTAAATAGATGTAGAATTTAAATATTATATATATATATATATATATATATATATATATATATATATATATATATATATATATATATATATATACTTTTTTAATTTGTATTTTCTAAAACATAAACAATGTTTTGAACAATTGTGCAGATAAGCTTTATACAATTCAATTACTTTTAGAAAATCTCATAGTAGTTACAATATATGAGTCACAAGCGATGATGAGAAGTAGTTTGAATATTGCTCCTGGGAAGAAACTTTGCAAACCTTGTAAGCAAAAGATTGCCATAAAAAAAGATCTTAAAGAAAAGAAACAAAGCCAGGAACAAGATGAGAATTTGCTAATACCATCATTCAAATCAAAAAGACAGGAGATCAATGAAGAACTCAAAAATTTTAATATATCTCCTCTAAAATCTCATTCAAAGTCATCAAAACATATTCTCTCAGAAGGAAAGCGAAAAATTGCGCGCATCAACGAAATGGTAAATAACGTTACTAGAAAAACTGAAAGTCAAGTCAATGTTCCATCAAAACTGTGTTATGAAACAAATAACATGAAAAAGAAAGCTAAAAACTTTGATGAAATTATGAGCTTGATAAAAGAAAAAATTCTATGTTCTGACAAAAGGACAATTGTTCAACTTCTAACACTGGCACCCCCAAGTTGGTCGATATTAGAAGTACAAATTAACTTTGCAGTTACAGAATACCAAGCATAAATGGCTAGACAAATTTTTAATAAAAAAGGATTGTTAGCTATCTCTCCATTGTATAAAGGTAAAGTCTTACACAAAGAAATAGAAGATTCTGTTAAATTGTTTTATGACTCAAGTGATTTATGTAGAACTATGTCTGGAAAAAAAGATTATGTTAGCATTCAAAAGAATATCCATAAACAAAAAAAACTGCTTTTGTGTAATTTAAAAGAACTATATGTATTATACAAAGAAAACAATCCAGAAATACAAATAAGTTACTCAAAATTTGCTTCACTTAGACCAAAGTGGTGCATTTTGCCAGGTGCAAATGGAACACATTCTGTTTGTGTTTGTTGTTATCACCAAAATGCCATATTGCTAGTAGATGCCTTAAATATTGGACTAAAGTATAAGGATTTACTTTCGAAAACCGTTTGCTCAGTAGAAAACAAAGAATGCATGCTTGCACAGTGTGATAATTGTCCTGGTAAAGAAACCCTCACCAAATATATGTATGAGATTTTCGGAGAATACGAAGATGATTTTGAGATACACTACAAGCAATGGCAAACTACTGATCGTGCAACACTATTGAGTTTAACAGCAGATGTTTCAACATTTGTTGAACTATTAGTATCTTGCTTTGAAAAGCTACAACCTCATTCTTTTATTGCTCACTCTCAATCACAGTACCTTAACCAACTAAAACAAAATATGGATCAATCAAACATTATCATTATTGGCAACTTTGCTGAAAATTATACTTTTGTAGTCCAAGATGAAATACAAAGCTATCATTGGAACACCCAACAATGTTCTTTACAATTTACCCAGCACCCCCCCCCCCCATCCTGGTGTCTTGAGCCCTGAAAACAACTTTGACATGCACATTTATCAGCACTACAGAAATGTTAAAAAAACAAACAGAGCTCCAACTAGTTTGGAAGGTAGTGAAAAATCAAATGCAATACTCTGCTACAAAAAAGTAGGGATTATCCATATTTGGAAATCCATAAACTTGCAGATCAAAATTTTTATATTTTTTGAAAGATCAATGCATATAGAATGATTTGTAATATATATATATACATATATATATATATATATATATATATATATATATATATATATATATATATATATATATATATATATATATATATATATATATATATATATATATACATATATATATATATATATATATTCTTTTTTTTTTTTTTTTTTTTTTGAGATCATCAAAGCCACATAGGTTTCTTGAACATTATTAAAATTTATTTAAATTGATAAATACAGGTACTTGAAAGTAATTTTTTTTAATTTCTGATTATTTTATTGGATTTGCCACCCATGAAAATAGACAGGTACAAATTTTTAAGTAAAAAGATTAAGTGTTTTTAAAGTTATGTGACTTGAAACCGCTAAATAAATGTTGCAAATCCAAGGAGACAAGAGGAGCCTGGCTTTCTGTTAAAAGTAAAATGGTCATATTTCAGGATCTTTTTGGAGTAAGAGACTAAAATTTTCAAGGAATTCTTATTTGACTAAGTACTCTTAACTGTATAAAAATCAGCAAAATCTGATATATATATATATATATATATATATATATATATATATATATATATATATATATATATATATATATATATATATATATATATATATTATATATATATGTGCATACAAACACATACACACACACACACACACACACACACAGATACACCTTGGTAATACCAATAACATATAAGTAAATATAGTAAATAACAAAAAAAATAAAACCTTTGATAACAATATTGAAAAAAATAAAATAAAATGATCCATTGTGCTTACTACTTCATTAAAACTTAAACTTTATTGTGAGATCATTTTTACAAAAATATCTTCAGACGCAAACAAATCTCATCACCTTTTATTTCATCCGAAGTAGCATCCAAAAGAAATTCAGCTTGTTCTGGTCTGTTGGAAACAGTAAAATAAATCACTTTCGTTGCCATACGTTTGTATATTTTTTATAAATTAAATTTTCTGGAAATAGACACTTTATTTAGTTTATGCGATGAATAAAATGTACGCGCAAAAAATATATATATATATATAATATCCAGTTTTCTAAAATATCATTCATGATGAAGCTTCATGTTGAGATTCTTTAAAAAAATTTAGAAAGTCTTTTTGTGCAATCATAAACCGAATTATATGAATCAATAATATAATTTAGTTTTTTACATTTTTTGTGTTTACATCTTAACAAGATTAATTAGGAAACTCATATTTTAGGCACAGAGCTTTAATGTATAAATTCTTATCATCCCTGTTTTTTAGATAATGACGAGTTTACATATGTAAGATAAGAAAATTCACATAAGGTACACAATAGTTATTTGTTTAGTATTGCAACACAAGACCATTCTTAAAAGTTTGTAAACTGTTTTTTGTAAATGTCGTCCATGGCCTAACAGAGTCGTAATATTTGCATAATTTGGTCGTTTAAAATACCTAGTAAATGAAACTAGTTAAATGATATAAGTTTACAGTTGCTTAGAAAAATCTACGCAAGCAATATATTGACGTCACGAAACATTAAATTTTGCATGAGCGACTGTTTAATTAAGTCTTAAGATTAAAATGTAAAGCTGTTCACGCAATAAGAAACAATAATTGAGTTTTTCCTTTTTTTTGAAAAGCATCTTTTAGTTAGAATTATCTTTAATTATTTATTAATAAATTGGGTAATAAATTAGATTACTGAATATAATAATTTTAACTTCATTAAAAACATAATTTCTTTTGAATAAAAAAGAGCTGATGTTTTGGGAAAATATTACTTTATAACCAAACTTACTTTAAACCCAAACCAAAACCGCAAAAGTTTTAAGAAAGTGTATATCGATTATTTATAAAAGTCTTCACACAAACCAAAAAAAAGATTAAAAAAAAAAATTATAAAAAATTTATTGTAGATAAACTTGAAATAAATTAATCATACTTTAACTTCTTTTCCTGAATTTAATTTTCTTTTCTATATAAATCTTTTAGATATAATCAATATAAACTTTTTCCAAAATTTTTTTATGACTTTTTTTCCCGTGTGGTCTTCAATTTAATAACGAGTATTCTAAAAACTTTTTCCGCGCCATTCTATCAATACCGTTATTTTGTTTGCAGTTTAAAAAGTGCAACAGTTATTATTAATTATAAGCTAATTTAAGAGTTATGGATGAAAATATTTAGGTAAGAAAAATTATGAGGTTTTTACTTTGGTAATCATTGCTTTGCCGTTTAAATTTATCACTTTACTGAGGTAAAGTACCGTGGTGTAGTGGTTAGAGCGTTTGCTTTAGAAACAAGAAATCCAGCGCTATCTAAAAAATATCATTACTTTAATAATCTGTACTTTTTTAGAAGTTTTAAAGCTGCATTTTTATCTCAGGATTTTAAAATCACTTTTTCCAGTAAGTTGACATGAAGTCAACTTACTGGAAAAAGTGGTTTTAAAATCCTCTGATACTAACTTTTTTTATATTTTTTGGCTGTTTCTTAATAGTTAACATTCAAACAATGTGAGTATCAAAACTCGTATTACCATATCTTTTAAGCGCCAATATATGTTTGGATTAAATTTTTAATCTTATTATAAATTATGATCCTATTTAGATAAAGTATTTTTTCTTAAAGAAATTAATTTTTTTTCAGTCATGGAACCACTGGATCGTTGATATTTTTTTCTGTGTTCCAATCGCCATAATATCTTGCAAAGTTTTATAAATTTAACGAATATTAGTGTAAAAGAAGTTGTAATTTTCAGCATAAATCTCAAATCAAAAATTCAGACAAATAAAAAAACACCACAAAACACCAAAAACGCTAGTTTTAAATATTATAATAATTTATAAATAACATATTCATTTAATATAAATATTCTTAAAAGTTTTCTTATAATCTCATTAAAATATACTCCACAATCATAGCAAATAATTTTTCGTTACGATTGACTTTTTTTTAGACGCGACAAACATTATCAGCGTCTGGTTTAGGTTTATACGCTCTGCTACGGATATTTGTTTCAATATATAAAAACAAATAAATTCTAATGTTTTTTGAGACTCTTTGAGATAGAGTTTACCTATGCAAAACTTCTATCTAGCTGAAACCTTCTTTGCAAATAGATCAGAGACGTAACGTTTTAAATAAATAATGAACTCTAAAACTTATCTATTTTACTAAGTACATTTCGCGTTTTATCTCAAAATAAAATATAGCAACTAAATCAAACAAAAGCTAATCTAATATTAACTTGCTGAATATTAAAGTAGTGACATATTTGCGTCTCTTGCGCTGTGTAGCTGGTGTAGATTGGTGTTTTTATACTATTAAAAGATGTAAATTGATTATTTATTAGTTTACAGACTTTAATAATTATGTAAGTAACCGATATACGTGGAACGATATACGTAGGGGTTTTCTAAACTAAAAAAGCCTGGTTTCAATTTATATTTATTTTAATTTTGCTTTTTAAAGAAAAGATTTCAAATTCTAAGATAAATTGCCGAGTTGTGATTTAGAGTTTCCCATTTCGCAGAAATAATTTTTAATATAACTAATTAACTTTTATATAATTAAAGTTAAGAAAATAACAATAAATTTATAATTGGACATTATGTTGGGATTTAGAAAAAATTGGAAGGAAAGAATACACCACCACAACACCAAGAAACTAGGTATAATTTTGTAATTTTTGAAAAACAATTTCCTTCAGAGAACGACACATTTATTTAAAAATAAATCATTTTTGGAGATGCTCTAGCCAACATTGCGTGACATAATATTTTGCATAATAGCCAATTGTTCTTTTTGACTTACGGACACGTTCAAAACAATAAATACAAACGTTTTCTTATCAACTTATAAAAAAATTACAATATATTGTTCATTTTTATTGTCTGTTCATGACTAGGTACAATAAACTTCTTGATTTTGTATGTTACAAATATTGCGATAAAGTTATCTCTGTAACATGAAATTTTGGCAGGACCGTTTTACTTTTTAAATTTGGTAAAAGTAAAATACTAATATGGAAGAACTTAAGACAAGGCAACTGCTTAGTATATTTTGCATGTCTGCTTCAAAATACTCTGGTAGTATAAGCTTCCACACCTGAACTTGAATATTGCCATTTATTCTTTTATATTTTTCAACGCATTATTTATTTATTTTTTGCTTCTAAAAAGTAAGAAGTTTTGAAAAATTTTAAATTTAGCTTTATCTTGTGGTTATAGATAATGAGTTCTATGACTTGATAATACTTTTTAAATTTGAAAAAAAAATTCAAATGCATCCAACGCAAAAAACTGATAAAAGTACGGAAGGGGTCTAGTAATCTAGTATGTTAATCCAGTAATTATTCCATCTAGCAGTTAAAGAATAATTAGGTTTTAAAAAAGCCAGAGCCTGAGCAATTGTTTTGTTACAAAACATTTTTATTCATATTAAAAAGTTTGTCTGGTTTGTTTAATAATTCATTTTTTTGCATTATAAAATGTAATGTAATAAAGTAGCTTTATACTTTTTAGTAGCAAAAAAAATAGATAATAATAATAATAATTAAAAAATATAAAAGAATAAATGGCGATGAAATCAATGAACCCTAAAAATAAATCTTAGTAAAAAAAAAAATAATAATTAAAAGTTCTAAAATATTTATATTTATTTCTGAACAAATTTTTCCTTCAGCGATTTTTTTTGAATTACTTTTTTGTTTATATGCAGTGAGTAGTAGCTTTATCAAAGTTTAAAGTTTAAATTTCAGCATTCGTGAACTTTTTGTAAAAAAATTATGAATGCATATTTATGAAATTTTTATTAAAAAATTCATGAATAAAGAATTATTAGTTCTTTAAAACAAACGGCATCTATATTTAAGTTAGTGATTATCAAAATGTATGATAATGTCCTCTGGGTGTTGCTGAGACAATTCAAAGGACTGTTTGTTTTTAATGTTTTTTATGTGTGCACCGCTGCTTTTTATGATAACCTAATCTTGAATAATTTTTAAATAAGTTTGTATATATTTCATTGTTAATATACATTCATGACATTATTTGTCACAGCTAAAATAAATGGGTAGAGGGAATTCCCTAGAGTTTTTTTCAAGAAAAAAGCTCCTTTAAAGTGTAAATTTTCAATAACTTTAATAAATGTCTTATTTGCAACTTATTCTATTAATATATTTTTGTTATCAAGCAAACAGAAATAAAAGAGCATATATTTTTTCGTTTTTTCTCTTATAAGCAAATTAATTAATCAGTGGCTCTTTATAAATAAGCGGCAGTGAGTAATTATTTTTCTAAAATAGGGTACGGTTGGCCAAATAAGTTTAGAAACCGGTATAAAAAATGAACTTTTAAAAAGCGGTTTAAAATTTGAACTTCATTTTGAAGATAAATATATAACTAGAGGTCTACCCTGAATTGGCTTATAAAATCTGTGTCTTCCAAATATTACTAGTTTTAAACTTATTTACTTGAAGGCGTCACAATCGGCGCTGGGTTTTGACTTTGAACCCAGCGTCAGCATTATCTGCTTATGCATCACAAAAGTCTTATTTTCTCTTTTGCTTGATTTTTCTTTTGAGCTTTTGTTGATACGTATCGTTTTAATGCAGAATTTTACATCACTAAAATCTTTTTAAAAAGCTTTTAAACAAACGTTTTTAAGAGGATTGCAATATCTTTGTAGCTATATTCAAGGCTAGTTTCAAGTCTTGAAGACATTTTCTTGTTTTGTAAAATTTTTCTAAAACCATGGACCATATCTGGACCATTGTTCCGGTCTCTGATTTATTCATACTTGCAGTAAGTCCTTTTGCTTCCAATTGCATGCCAGCTTTTTCAGTTATTGATTTAGACATACTGACAAGAACCTTTTGAATTGTTTTATATCTTTTTTAATATCAGTTTTATATCAGTGCATCAACTTCATTGTAGTGAGCAGACATATTATGGAGCAGACATATATTTATTTATGGTGAGCCAGCAGTATCCGAAAGTCGTTTAGACGTTGGTCTTCGTAAAGGAGTAAAGTCAGATAAAATTAGATTCCGTAAGAGTGTTGAAGCAGAGAAAATCACAAATAGTTTTTGAATCAAATCAAAAAGGCAAACT